ATATATAAATCCTGTATCTATAACTGGGATTCATAACAAAATACTTGAAAACCATTCTAAATATTTATTATATAGTTAAAAAATGCCTTTGCCTCTGTAACAATAATATTTACCCCAATACATTAAAAGTGCTTGTTATGTCTTCAGAAATGCAATTCTAGGACCTGAGGCACTGGAACTGCCATTGGTAAAATGACTGGGACTGAATAACAACCCTTAAATTTCTGTGTACGCAGGAAAGAGTTGAAGTTGAGAGACTAACACCAACACAGTAACATGCCCCCTCTCACATTCCTGTGGCCATTCCTTTTGGAGCAAGAAGCAGAGGAAGGCTGAAAAAGGAGAAGCATTCATACAGCAAAATCGTATGTCCAGGCTGCTTACTGAAAACTTTGACTATACTGACCTAAACAGTATGTAACTATTGAGAAGCTGTATAGTTCAGGATAACCAAAAAGAAATGTACCAGACTAAAACCACAACAAAGCCAAGAACACATTCAATTTCAAAGCATCCTTCCGATGCCTTCAGGTGTTTGACACTGTGCACAATGGAGCTCTTCAGGGGGCACAGAGAAGGCGCATATAGTGAAGAACATTTACTTTCTAGATCTCCCACGCTGTAGATCACAGTACCTTACAGTGGGGATGAACTACTTAAATAGCAATAAAAGAATAAAAAATTTAACATACTGTAAGATACTGTGCCAACTTCATAAAAATAAAAAGTAATTAGGGTACTCCTTGAAGTAACAGCAGAGATTTCCAAACTTATCAGGAAAAAGCACAGAAAACACATGTTCTAGATTCACAGCACCAGTACTAAAGCTTCATTATGAAAATTAGATGCAAAACTAAATATATGGTTGTATTATGTAAGGTTCCAGTCATTCCCCACTATTTTCAGAGTCATCTGCACCAAGGGGAATGGAATTTAATCAATGACATGGCAGCCATTATTTAAAAAATTAGTTTAATTGACTTGGTTAAGGCTAAGTGCTGTTTTTTTGCAACCGAAATGAAATAGTCTTATCTTAGGAAAAGATCTAATTAGAAAATTCAAGAGTGATAGATGATAAATTTCTTTCAAAGTGTATTTGTTATATTCAGATTGTTAAAGTGAATTTTAAATGATGATTAACAATTTTGTATTAAGTTCACAGCCAAAGTCTAAATTTAAGTTCAGACAAACAAGCTGTACTTAACCTGTACTTAATGGTTCACCAACATGCTTCACTTACAATGGAAATATAAGGGGGGGGGAGTGGGGGAGAGGCGCCACGAAACTCAGTTATCCTGTTTGAGGTTCTCTGCTGATACTGCCACCAAGGAGTCCAATTCATGTCCATTTTGATAGAATTCATGATGTTCACACAGCACAAACTGTACTGCAATGAACAGGATTGACTTGAAATTTTATCTCACAGTTAAAAAAAAGAAAAAAAAAAAAGGAGAAGACCCTCTGCTCTCCATATTACTGTACACATAGCCAAAGTTGACTTTACAAAAGCAACAGAACACCCATTCTGTTTGCCTACTTCAGCTTTTCTAGAAAGGAAATACATGTAGGAAACATTCATTTAACACTTTGGGTGGGAGGGGGAACAGGAGAAAGCTTTTTCAGTTCTGGAAGGTTAGAAATATGTTCTATTAATTAGAATTAATTCAAATATTAGCGGAAAGCTTAGTGAACACCGACTCCAGCTCTTGTGAAGCAATAATACTTCCAGCCCAAACCAGGAATGCTTTTTCACATTGTAAAAAAAATTTCTCCCATACAAAAAAAAAAAAAAAAGGCTAGTAAAATACTGCAGTCAGTAGCTTTGAAGTATCAGGTTCAAACTGAAGGTAGTAAGAGGACATTGTATAGTTGGTGCCAATAGAATCAGAATTTAACAAGTGAGAAGCCAAAAATATCCAATTATGAGCCAACAGAATGGAAGTCAAGTTAGAAGCCAAATGATAATTAGAAAGAATCAGAGACATGCCCAGATTGGCCAAAAGAGTCCCTTTTTCAATTTAAATCACCAACTAGATTTGTGTTAAGGAATGAAGCAATCAGCAATATGCTGTTACAGTAAGTTACCTAAATGCAGTTAGGATCAGAGCAGGGCATGTGGTCAGTATGACCACAGTATGCAGCAAGAGGGAACAAAAAAGAATCATCTCCTGGCAACATACTTCTCTTGATTCTGCAGGATAAATATTCAATGCCAGTATGCTGGAACAAGCAACTACCTGAGACAAAGACAGGAATATTTTTTTTTGGGAAAAAATAATACATACCCACCTTGGTGAAAGTTTAGAGTAAATCTTCAAACAAGAAATTTGCCAGACTGTCTGAACTATGAATTCTATGAATCCCTAAAATTTGGAAATCTGTGCTACTCTAAAATATCCTAGAATAAATTACTGCACAGTTCTGTATTTTGAGAGCTGTTTGCCCTTTTTTCAATTTTTCTTCTTTCTAGCCATTAGAAAGGATTACTTTCTTTACCATTTCCATTTGACTTACTCTAGGCTTGACAAAATGATAATCCTGGATCCATTATTTCCTTCCTCTAGTCATTGATGTCGTAAATTAATGCTGCAACTAAGGAAGTGTAGGATTGTGCAGAATTAATTTTTATATTAACAATTGTATCTGATAAACTAGCTCAGTCATTATAACAACAGCAAATAAAAGTGACTGTAAACACAATACGTAAGATGAATATAGCACTTTCAAAACCTTTTAATCTTTAACATGATCCATCAGAAAATGGAACACACTGTGCTGTTCTTACACTTTGGAAAATTGATGCAGTAAGTATGAATAACCTACCCAAGGCCACAAAGGTAAACATTATCAGCCAAGATAAAAACGCCAAAGTTCAGGCATAAAGTCCTCTGTTCAGACTATAACGACATGATAAATCTCATTCAATATTTGAAAGCCTTTCACAGCAAGGAAGCTCTCCACAGAATTAAGAGTTTATCATGGTCAATTTGTTATTTCAGCTGGGATTTTTCTCTATTTTGTCCACTGCTGAGCAGCATAAACACTTCCAGTGAAGTCCTTAGTGTGATAAACCGTATGTGTCTGAGCACATGTGTGTACACACATGTACACATGCATTTCAAAAGGACAAAGCCATTCTCATTTCATTCAGTTAACGTAATGGAACACAGTTTTAAATGGTACACTGTTTCTTTTTCCAAAGTGGCCTACCATAATTTGTGGTTTGATGACCAGTTTTCCATTTTTATTCACAGGAAGATCTCTCGATTTGTCAGAATCTCTGACAAAAATCATGGCATAGAATAGCAGAGGCAAAACATGAGTTAGATTCTCAAGTGTGATTCATTAAAAATGAACTATGACTAGCCCCCCTAATTTGTAATTTTTCTTCATTAAAGAGCCTTTTAAACTACAATTTCATTTCTCTGACAAAATTCACATCCACTATCCTGAGAATTTCTAACCTGTAAAAATCTCCTATGGAAAATGTAATGATAGTATCAGTTTACTATAGTGAACTAATCTAAAGAAATTAAAACAAAAAATAGTATTTGGATAGGGTCTGGTGGGGAAGAACAGGATGTGCTTCTTGTGAATTATACTATACTGACAAAGACTATACTGACTATACTGCAAGGACAATGTGAAATGTAATGGAAGGGGTAGGTGAGAGGAGATACAAAAAAACCTCTCACAAGATAAGCACATACAGAGACAACACTTCAACTCTAATTACTTGCCATTTAAGCAACAAACCTATTCTCGACTCTTTTGAGAACAGTTTTCCCATTTCATGCACAACTGAAGAGATCCCAATTTTAATACCACTTGTATCAAATAATACAGAGAATTATCTGGAGAATAGAATGACTGAAATCTTAGCCAGAAATATTAAATAGGAGAAGGAAAGACCTGCAATACAAATCTGTAGCTCACAGAGAAAATAATTTTAGAAGAATGTTTAAAAAAAAAAGGCACAATCCTCTGGTAGGTCCAATAACAATTTGAACAGAGAGGGTGACAGTGGTCAAGCAATTCCAGGTGTTTTCATGCATATGTATATATTTGTACTGTATCTGTGTCTATTTCATTCAGCTTCTAATTTCTCCGCGCTCTTCAGTAATCAAGTATTTGATTTGTAAGATGCTACATTAGTGCCAGCAGGCACAAAATGGTATAATAAATACACTCTTCACAAAATACAAAAGCCATGCACTTAGTGAAGAAAGCATAGCTCTTCAGCTAAGTGGAAATCAGTATCTCCCTTTCATTTTTTTTAAAATAGCTCTGCTCAGCCACTTAAAGAGTCCCAGCTGCCACAGAAAGTCATACAAACTCCAAGCCCTGCTCTGTTTAAGTTTCTGTTCCATAGCTCACTTCAGGAGTACGAACAGGATACTTCTTGCTGAACTAGACCGTAAGAAATTTCCTTAGTAGATCAAGTGAAAAAACAAATCTGATAATTTTTCCATTTTAGCAATTCATTTGAAATCAATTCCATTACAGAAGCATCAAGTCATTGGTTCTTGTTTTATCACACGCTTTATAAAGACAGGTTCGTTACAACAGCCTTGAAGGGGACCGACAGTTAGGTTCCCACTGGCCATGTTCTTGGGGAGAAACACCTTGGAAGAACTGTGGTTCAACAGGATGGGGCTTTTGGAATTCAGAGCTGGGTGTCCCTCAGGGACTAAAGTCAGAGAATTAGTGCCAGGTGGCACCACAGATTTCTTAGGGAATAAAATTTTGCTTTGTTCTAGAACAATGTGGTTTATAGAAGAGGTGGAGGCACCACATAGTGATTCTTTTATCACTTCATTTGGGATCTTGCTATATAGGTAATTGGGGGCGTTATTCTCCATTATATCTGACCAAGCCCTGTAGCGAACTTCCGCAGCTCCCCAGTAGTGTCTAATAGCAGACTCGGAGCGATGGCCTGTCACTGCCATTATTTCTCTAGGCCCCAGTCCTGCTTCACACAGTAGCTGGATGGTGGTAGTTCGGAGAGAATGATTGGTGTACCGTTGAGAGAGCCTGGCTGCCACACTTATCCTGGGCATCATGGTACCTAAGTAGTTCACACCCATCGGTTCTCTTTTGTACCAGACAGGCTGTTCTTGCATTTGCTCTGATGTTAGCTTCAAAGGATGCAGGTAAAAGGCAGGGGGCTCCGGAGGCAGCTTAGACAAATAAAGCTCCAAGGAAAAAACAGGACAGTTTGGGTCCCCTGGCATATCATACATTTTACCCATTTTATGAGGATCTTCTCCATTTTTTCCTTTGCTAGGATACCTAAACATAGCATATCGACGCCCGTTCTTGTCCTTCTCAACAACAAAAGCATCTGGAGCCAGATCTCTTAAAATTTCCCTCCCTCGTTTGGCAAAATGCAACTGTAAATCAAACCACACCTTGTTGACGAGTGCCAGTGGACTGTGCAATCCCAGCACACCAGATTGTTTAATCTTACGCAAGTCCTCAGCGGCTATAGGAGGATGGTGGTGAGTCTCATCCTTTCCCTGCATGCGCAGCATCTTCAGCACGCTCACAAATACCATGTTTGCACCAGCAAACTCTTTGTCCTTCATTAAGCAAATCTGACGATTATAAGGTGGCATTTTGAGATGCCGGTTTAAGCCAGCACGCATTGACTTGTAGCTTGCCACACTGTAGGTATTTCCATCATGATTCCTTATTGTGTAATAAAACTCTCTTAAGATATCATTGAGTTCACTTACTGGGACCAATTCAAAGCTAGGATCCTTGCCATTTTTGGCCAGCCATTGTTTTAATAGGTTAGCTGCCCAGCCAGTCTGCTTGTGGGTGTTTTTGATGCTCTTAGCATCCTCTTCCTCTTCCTCCAAGCCAAAGAGGACATCCTCAGGGAAGTTAAAATTCGTCTGTGCTGCTTCTACCGCTTCTTTATTTTCTGATGAAGTCTCTTCCTGTTTCAACTGCTTTTCGAAACAATTGATCAAAGTTGTACCATCAAATATGCCACAGGTATACGGCACACAACGAACTACTTTTTGTTCTGAGAGCTGTGAAGTGTGGAGTAATACATAATATTTTGGATTTTACATAAAAAAAAGCAGGTGGCATTAACTGGATTTTTCAAATGATATGGCATGTCAATTCCATACCTTGCTAGCCAATTAAAATGCATCAGGTCCTTCTTTATTAACCATGGCATTACACATGCTTTAACTGATTTGACTGAAAGCAAACCTAGAAACATACACTATAACAGAAGACTGAAAACCGGAAAGCATCATGTGTCTTTTATTTCCCTCCTTGCTCACCTTCCATTGCTAAATACCACTATCACACACAATCTGTTTTTCCAAAATCTTTTCCGGGTTTCAGGCTCTACCGAAGAAGAAAAATTCCAAAATATGCATCTTATATTGAAAATTAAATCTTAAAGCTGTACATCTGTCATCCATTCTGGAACTGAATTTCCTACATATCAAGTACTGACATTTTAGTAGCTATAATCCACAGGTGTCTTTGAAAAATGAAGTTCCAACCATTCGATATGAAATGCCTTAATAAAAAGGTAGAGTGAGGCAGAGTTTATAATATTGGTTATCTTTGCCAGACTATTTCTGCGACAGGTGAAAACCAGAATCTTGTCCAGTATGTTTTCTTCTTGCTTTGAAATACAATTCAGATTTAACTGTACCTTGAAACAGAATTAAATGTGGAAATTTGGCCTAGAAGAAATTAATTTTATTCCCCTTAATAAAATAACTTCCAGTTAACAGCAATGTAAGTATGAGGTGCTTTGTGAAATATCTCTATGCAGAAATAAAATTAATTACGAATAATTTAAATAGCTTAATATCAACCTTTAAATTTCAAAGCAAGTTCAACAAATCTTAGACGAGGAATCCAGAAGTACTGCAAGTTCTCCTTTATCATGAAGAAGTTATTCCTGAAGAAAGTTTCTTTTCCTTTTTTTTCTCCTATGACATACGGCAATGAAATATTAGAACGCCAATTCTTATTAACTTCTGGATTAGTGTTGAAATGAGAGAGCCGCAGTAATTTACAAAATATTTGTAGCTTTAAGTTCAAGCCCTTCAGACAAAAACTGGGCAGAGTTTTCTTTTGTTCGTTAGCTCTGTTGTATCGGACATGTTTTTAGTGTGCTCCTGAATTACTAACTCATCTACTTACACAAACCCCATCAGAAAACTTCTGAAAAGGTTATCAGAAGCTCATGCTCCAAGTAATACTCTGGATCAGAAGAAGAAGAAAAATACAAATGGACAGAAACTAGAAAGGATGGCACAAAAAAGAAACTAAAATTGTTTCATTATGAGCAATAAGGGTAACGAACTTTTCTCCTGTGGATTGTAACTTTAGAATTTTATATAGAAACATAATCAACAACCTACCTGTGTTGTTCCCTCAGCAGTTCGCTTGTTTGCCGAAGTATCTGTTGGTGGCCTGCTTGTCTGGTTTTCTGAGGGGTCAAGAAATTGTTCATTTGCAGTATCTAATAGTACTAAATACTGCTATCCACTATACAAATTGGGGAGACAATATTCAAAATTGTTTGATACTAAACATTCAGTATGTGGCACATTTAACATTTTTCAGCCCTAATTTTCAATTATAACTATTCAAGCTTGATTACTACCATTTTTCAGAGGGAACAGAAGATACAGAAAAGCAAAATGGCACTTTCCAGCCTAGAAGCAGTACATGTTTCCCTCCTTGAAAGTCTGACAGTGTGTTCAAAATATTTTATGAACAATTCCTTTGCCTATCTGAGGACAAAGCATAACTCCAATCTCTCCTCCCTCTGTATGTAAATGGACAAGATATTAAACTGAAAAAAGTTACAATTATTCAACATTTTTGTACAAAAAAATTGACTGAGCAACAGATGGTTAAACAAACCGGAAAATACATAACTGAGACGATTTGTGCATGGAGACTGAGTATCTTTATTAGCTCAGCCAAACATATGTCCACACTAGCAACTAAGCAGAAGTTGCTTGAATATTTGATGTAAACATTTAAATCCAAATTCTCCCTTCTCATTCCTTTTCATTTTAACCAGAGCTTATCAGCAACAGTGCTGGCCCAAAGCAGTGTTTCAGTTCTGGTGAGAAAACTGCTAGGGTATACACTAAGGCTACGTGAACTACAGAAAATGAGACACATTTTTGGACACATAGGCCCTTCCTTTGGTCACTGTGCCTGATCTGTCACAACCCTTTTTATGTTGTATTAAATCATTATATTAGCTTTAGAGCTAAAAAATCAATACAAACCATGTAACTGTCCAACTCTATGGTAAGATAGGTAACGTAGAGATGGGAAAATGAAATAAAACTAGTTCTGATGTCAAGCTTTGCTTGAGTTCATTTTAACATTATATTGTGCCAATGAGAAACTTGCTGTAATTCCAACTCACTTAGAAATCTTGAGGACCTCTTAGAAAAAAATTTTCAAGGTATGTAAATCAGGAGTGCAGAGAATCATCATGGCATGGCCAAAGATGGAGAGAAAGTATTTTAAAATACTTAATCTAGATACCATATTTGAACATTCACTGTGTTCAGAGGCTTTATTTTAAATACAATAAATATACTTCTTTGGAACTCAGTTAGTATTCAGTTGCATTTTTTCCCCCATTTTCTTTACTTTGAAGTGTTGTGAAAATTAAGTTGATGATTATACTTTCCTTTCAGCACGTCTTTGCTTAGAAAGGCAGCCAGATTATTTTGAGAGGCTGTATTAAAAATAAATACCAAGTTGTTAATGGTAGAATAGGAGTTTCTGATTTCATGCTAGGAATGAAATAAATCAAGTTCTAAATAAAACAAAGCTTACAGAGCCACGCTGCTAACTCCTTCTAAGTAGAGATGATTTTCAGCAATGGCTGAAACACATCTATGACAGAGATGATGTTGATCTTGACAATTTCAACAGAAAGGCAACCCAGAAGAAACATCTTGGTAAAATACACTAACAAAAAAATTTCCACAGGAGTGGAGTTTTGTGTTTCCCTTTGACAACTATTTTCCTTTCCCAGTGTCAACATTCAAGCATAACTTACCAACTCTGGGTGCTGTAACGCTGGGTGGTTCAATAGGAGCTGTACTACTAAATGCAGAGAGGGGAATCTTCATCTGCAGAGGGGCTCGACTGCTGGTAGCATTATAAAGTCCTGAAGTACCCACTGTGGGCAAAGAAGTCCTTGTGGCCTGGGCAACTGGATGTGCAGTAGAAACAGCCTGTACTGCCAACGTTGTGCCTATTGACCCAGCACTGGCTGGAGAGTTCCTTTGAATACCAGGACTGGGCACAGATGGGCTGTTATTTGGTTTTGTTGGGTTAGTTGATGCCAAGGACACTGTAGTTTTGGTAAGGCTACCAACTGTAGATGAGCTTTGTACGGATATAAATTCAACGTTGCCTGACTGTTGGTTAGTGACCAAAGTCCCTGTGTGGCCTTGCAGGAGCTGAGGCTGGGATGATACTGCAACAGGTACATGCAAGATTACGGGCAAAGACTGCAATGAGACAGACACTGACTGAGTGCTGCCACTGGGCACTTGGTTAGTGCCTACAACCGTAGCTGTGTTAGATGTGGGAAGAACTGTTGTTGTCAAAGAGCTGGTGGAGGTCACTGGAGTCTGAGGCTTAGGATGTCCACTGACAACTGTCGGAGGAGCAGCAAGACTGGAAGCTGGCACTACATCCAAAAAAAAAAAAAAAAAAAAAATTAAGTATTTGAACTAAGTGGGAAGTTTCACTCCAACACAATAAACGGAAGTGATTTACGATGAGGGTGGTGAGACACTGGAACCGGTTGTCCGGAGAAATTATGAATGCCCTATCATTGTAAGTGTTCAAACTCAGGCTGGACAGGGCTTTGAGCAACGTGATCTAGTGAAAGATGTCCTGACCCATGGCAGGGGGTTTGGACTAGGTGATTTTTAAACGTCCCTTCCAACCCAAACCGTTCTATGATTCTATGAAAAATGTGGTATCTGACTAACTTTTTGCAAATAAAGGCTATAGATACTCTTTTTCTGTTGTACACTCTGATATTCAATGGCCTAGTTAAAGATACGGTCAATGCTGTATTTCTGTTTGAAAGAGCTACATACAAATGGCAAAAAATTAAGGTATACAAAAAACTATGACACAAACAGGCTTGAAGAAAGCTCCAAGGTTTAACTATTGAAAACACATGAAATACAGCATTTTAAACACTCGCTACAGTAATGTTAGAACAACTGGTCCTTTAGAAAACACAAGAAAAGAAAAACTAAGTCCGTTATGACTAACTTGCTTTGTATAGGTAGAACCTTGTATCCAGAAGGTTCTATTGAAACCAAGGATTAATGTGTCAGAGAAGATACTTGCTTTTTATGAAACAAAATTTCAGGATTAAATCTAAAGACCAGGAGCATAATATACTACAGAAAGCCAGTATATGCCTACTATGAGATGATTCTATGGAAAATATTCAGCATTCAATATTAGGTAAACTATTTTTAAAACCAAGGATGGTGTGACTACAATGAATGTAATTAATGGTGGTTTTGAGTCTACATTCCCTATAAAATTCTAATCTAGCAATTCCATTTTTCAACTTGATTTCCTTAAGAAGTGGGGCTCATGACTTCCTTTAGTTCCCCACTCAACTTCTGTAGCCATTAGTTAGAAGGGAAGATATCAGCATGATATGGCCTGTGAGCCATGTGCTTCACTTCTCGGCAGCTGAGAGACTGCAACTTTTGCTGCCATACCCAGCAACCAGTCTGCTGAAGCATCTAATTTACCCATGTGTTCTGGTTGGCCAAATCAACACATTTCTTCCCCTTACCTGGTAAGCACACTACATAAATATAAACTGGGAATGCGGTAGGGAGCTAAGAATAATGATTTTTGATGTCAGAAAAAAAGGTCATAAAACCCAGTTTCGCTCTGTTTAGTTACTTATGTAATGGAAAGCAATAAAAAGTCTGTTTATAGTCCCTAGGCAGTTTCTTACCTGCATTCACAGGGGCTTGAAAAGTTGCTGGTGTGCTCTCTCCTACATTTCTTTTTGACTCCAGCATCTGCCTCACTGTGCCAGCATTTCTATGGAATGAGGTTTCAGTTAGCATTTCTCAATGAGCCACACCAGGTTTAATTACGAACAGTGCAACAATGAAAAAACCCCTTATTTTACAGCTATTCTTTTAATTGAGATTTTCTAAACCCATTTATCTTCTGCACCCCATGCAAATTAACTTTGGATATTCCCCTACTAAAAAAAAAATGCAGAATTATTTGTAAATTTTCAAGTGCTTGCACCAAGTTTGCCTTTCACCATGAGAACTTTGCTTTCCTGGAAATTAAACTTCCGTTTTTATCCATTATTTTTTAATTGCTGAAACAACACTCATCTCAGTTTACCTAAGAATGGATTCAATACTGTCCATTTATGACTTCTGTGAAAGAAAATTGAATTTTACAATTGAAGAGCAATGAAGGAAAAGGAAGAGCACTTTAATTAAAACAGGAAAATACAGGGATTATCCATTACTTTAGGTATCTCAAGTGTCCTATTGTAAATTTTAACATGGTCACAGTGATGTGGTTTGCTTACCGGTATGTCGCATTGCTTGTGTTTGCAGTGTCTCCTGCTGCTTTCCCTGGAGACAGAGGTGCATTTGGTGAATTCTACCGAGAGAGAGAGAAGCCGTAACAAAACAACCATGAGTCAGCTTGCAAACTTATGCTTTCATTATATTTCATATTCATTAATTTCTGTGTGAGATCTACATTTTCTGGAGCCAACACTGCAGGAGAACTTGACATGTTTTACAAGCTCCCAAAACCTCCTTGGTCCTACCCGCCTCCCTCCCCTACATCTTCCCTTTTTATAAGTCTCTTGCCTTCACGTTTTTATAGCATGAGAATCAAAACTTCTTCTTGACCGTTAATGGACTTTTAGCTTCCATTTCTTCACAGTAATTAATCCAAAATATTCATTCTAGACACAGAGAAATACTATTGTTTGTATCCATTCCTCCACCCTCCCCCTGCAAAAATCAAGGTACTGGGATTCACTCTTATTTACTCTATACTCTTCATATTGAAGCAAATTAGATTTACTTACATAGAGTTTAAGGTGCTTTCACACTAAAAATGCCTAAAGAACCTTCTGTTCAAATCAGAATTACATAACAGATGTTAAAAGACTATTCTTTCATATCACTGCCTTTAACCAAACAAGACAAACTTACTTTGTGAACACCACTGAACAACCAGGTCACATCTTTCTGCACATAAAATTTCTTTATTTTTCAACACAACGTTTAGGCTAACTCAGAAAAACAAATATAACAAATCCAGTTCTTACTTCCTGTCTTTTCTTCAAGTCCTCCCTGGCTGCTCCAAACCGCTTTGTCAATCTAGCAATTTTAGCCTAAATGGGAAGAAGATGAAAACAAACAAACAAAACCATAAATATCCTCCCCAAGAACCATCAAAGAAATTATACAAACTAAAAGATATATAATTAAGACATCAAGTCAAAGGCTATTTTCATATCAGGAGGAATTATTCTTCCTTGAAATACAGTACAACTATATTACTTCAAAGCAGCAGAAAGACACACACACGTGTCGCAATCAAGATATCTTAGAGACAACTTGAATTATTTTCCTTCCTATTCTGCACAAACAGAATCCATCTTATAGAAGTTCACACAATATTCTGCATGAATGAAAGCAACTCAAAGCATCTGACTGTTTTAATGCCTTATGTACCAACCATGCATGGAGGAGGGGAGGGAGAGTGAGCAAGCAGCTGTGTGGTGCTTAGTTGCCAGCTGGGGTTAAACCATGACAATCAGCAATTTCATATACCATGATCTCAGACCTTCTTACCCAAAAGGAGCTGGTCCATTCAGAAACCTCATCTCTTTCACATTTTTACAAAGCAACATGATGGGCTACAATTATAGTCCGCCATTAATTACATTTATATTTCAATTTCTGTTATCTTTTACAATGTAGAAGTCTTTTGGAGCACCTTGCATAATAAAACCATGTAAGCTTAGATTGCGGGTCTATTAACATCAACACATTCACAGCCTTATACGATGTTATTAGACACTGTAGTTGATGGCTAAAAACACTGATAAACAAGTATACTGAAAGCATCTTAGCACTTAACAAAAAGTCAACATAAAATGTCTGGGGCAGCACGGGGGAAGAGTTATGTAGTATGAACTGTCTGGCAAACTCCATACTTTCTTTTATGTTATAAGTAAAATGGCCTTATTGTTTGAATTTGTTATGACATAAGCTTTTAATTGTCTTGTCACTTCAAAATTCTTTGATTTTTGTGATGTTCCTCATCTCATCACTATGTACATCATTTCTATAATGAATGCAAGAAAGCATACTGCATTCAACACTAGCTATTTGTTTCCTTGCTAGAACATAAGTATTCAGTTTCTGGGGAAATAACATGGATAAGTATCATGTCATGTTTCTTTGTTTGAACATTCTACAAAGTCCAGTGCTATTATCCTCTCCCTTCTGCACTTTTCTGTTTTTAAGCAAATTTCTGGCTTCATAAAAGCGTTAGATATTTCCATACTTAACATTTATTTGAAGAACGTCTAAATGGAAGAGTGGAAAAGTGGTTTACTAACAGCTAATGAATCAGGAATTTTGCTTTGGGGTTTTTTGACGACTAATTGGTTGCTTTCTTCTTTCTGAGTAGGGAAAATAGAATTTTACAACTCAAAAGCAACATTAGTATTTGCTGCTTCCCCCCCTTTCCCTTTGTGGAGTCAAAATGGCTTCCCTACTGACAACTACAAGAGACTTACTACTAAGTGTTGAGGAACTTATTTTTAAATTTGACTCTTAGTATGCAGTTCAACACACAAACACCCACCTGTAGTTCAGTAAGCACAGTTTTATGCCTCTTGTTACATTCTACTTTCTCTATTCGGGTTTTCAAGTCTGCCAGTGTCTTGTCAAATACAGCACACTGTAAAGCAGTAAGTTTTTCTTCTAACAGTCTCTGGATAACCTGCAAGATTATTATAAAAAAAGAAAAATAACAATGCAATCCTAGAATTTGGGAGACCATCTATAAAAATATTCTCAACTCTTAACAAGTATCCTGCTACAAACAGAACAATGACAACGGTTGTGGCCTGCCAATCAAATAAATCTATAGTCACCAATAAGCACGTGGTTGCACAGCTACGAAAAATTTCTGCATCTATTTTGGCAAACACAAATGGTCCCTCTTTGCCATTAATTCAAGAAATTAATTTCACTGCAGTATGATAACTGTATAAAACCTTATTACATATAAAAAGAACCTTAACAACAGAAGATATTTTCAAAAAGTGCTGTGTTTACACAAATTAATTTTTCCTCTTACTTTTCTGTTCTTGAGAGGGACACTGGCATTCAAAGAACAGAAACTACAGACATTCAACAAAACTTTATTTCTGAGATGCATCTTCCCCTAGCAGAAATGCCCTGTGTTGCTTGTTTTGCGAAAGCAAAAAATGGAAAAAGAAGAGACTGATTTCCGCCAAGTTTACTTGTTACACTTATTATTTAATTTTTTTCTCCCTCCTACACCTATTGCAGTGCAAAGATTTTCCTTAGGAAACAAAAATAAACAAGCAACAAACATGCTTCAGTTTTCTGCATCCTACATTAATGAAGTTACAACATGCACTAGCTAACTAACAGAAGGGGACAATTTTTTTTCTTCAAGACCACAGGTTTCTTTACATGCCAATGGTGCAATCAGACAATTAACAGCTCTGTAAGACTGTGCAAAACACTATGTTGATTACACTCGTTTGGAAACAGACTTTCTTTAAAGCTAGGCACACAATAAAGTGCATCACATATAAACATTTACGACACTGAAATACCTCCTTTGCTAAGATTCTCCATCTATAATCACGTAAGACTTAAGAGTTTAAATATTTAACACATTTCAAATATAACTCTTGCAGCATAGTTTTCAAATGATATTTGGTCTCTTCTTAAAAGTAGGGCTACATAGGACTTTATATGAATTAAGCCACCTTTGTAATTTGAATTACATCCAATTTTCAACCACAAAAAAGAGAAAGTGTTTGAGGAGCAAGAAGTGTGTGGGAAAGGATAGCTAATTCAAAGATGGTAAGACAAGTGACCGATGAGTGTCTGCCATCTTCACTCTACACCTCCATTCTACCTTTTGTAATTTTTGGTCAACATCCCTTCTGGCTGTAATTTTCACTTGGAGTTCTGCTTCATAATCTTCTCCCATGTACCGACGACGTTTAGAATGAACACTGTCCATGTCCTCAGATTTGGAACGCTTTCTCCTTGACACTTCACCTGGAACAATTAGATACAACTGATCGTGAGGAACCTTTGAAAAAACAGGTATGTGCAGAATGTCGTGATTATTATGAAGTTTCATTTGTCCCCAGTTTAAGCATTTTCATCCTAAACTAGTAAGAACACCTTTGGAAAAAAAAGATGTTTGATGACATCAAAGCAGAACAACAGTCCCTTTGGTCTCTGTACATTGCTGCCCTGTTAGTGAGTTCTGCTTTGTGATTCACCAAACCACTGCCCCAAATGCAAAATGACTCTAGTACCCCCATTCCCTTCTCCAGAACTCGCCTCCAGTTCTTCCTGCTCCTACCAGCACCATCCTACAATGAAACGTGGCTTTCCTCTTTTGAAAAAGGAATCCTCTTCTCAGGATTCCAGCCAAACAAAACTACATCTCATTCTGCCTGTGTCAGCAATGAACTTTTTTTCTACCTGCCACAAAGTTTTAACCTGTACCTCCAATCCTTGACTGAAAAAACATTAAAACCTTTTTCTTACTTCTTGGGTAAGAAGGAAAGTAAAAATCTAACAAAAGAAAAGGCTCAAAACAAAACTATATTACAAAAGTCATTTTCATCACAGCGATGAAGCACAAAAGAACCAAAGAGACCTCATTCACTCCTCCAGCTCCTGGCACTGTATCCTCTAGAGATCCACAGGTAGAACAACAAGCCTAGGTAAACTATCAGGAAGGGAAGGTACAGAGCATACTGTGGGTACCTGACCACCGTCAAAACACCAAAGACCACAATCCCCAACCCCTCCACCCCAAACCTGAGGATGGTACTGAAAGACAGAATTAGTAGTACATCAATGAAGATTCACTGGAGACTGAAACAGCATAACAAATAGTTACTTTCCACTGCCATTTTTTCTTTACTTGTATTACACACACTCTGTGAGTTATATTTCTAACTCCACAAATTTCTTATAGTCTGATTTTTTGATGGTTAGATTTCTGATGGCTTCAGTCTGATCTGATTTTCTGGTGGTTTCTGATTTTTTTTTTTTGAGTTGCATTAAAAATGCACTAATGTACTAAAAATTATTAAAAGGTAGTATTTTAAAATCTGCATGACAACCTAGGTTATTTTTAAAAGTTTGTGAAAGCATAGGTCCTCAAATTTTAGGTAAGTTTTATAGGGCCACAGGACTCTTCATAAACATTTGCAGAATGCTGAATATTTGCAAGCAATATAAATGTCTAAGGTACCGAGTTTTTCTTTTTTTTTCAGAATGACAGTAAACAGTGCAAAATGAGGGGAAAAAAAAAGAGCTATATCCAGCTTTCTTCCATCCATCAGAAAAACTTGTAGAAATAAAATAAAAAAAAAAAATCTGAATCGTTAGAACACTATTCCCAGACTAATGAAGACAAGTTTATTAGGATCTTTCATACAACTCTTTCCTACTCCCAGTCAGTCTCTTTAGAAAAAGCCTAACCACTGAACAGTACAAGTAGTAGTTTGTAACATGCAAGAGCTACCTACATATTTAACAGAACATGTTTAATGTTCAGATAATTTGTTCTGAGGCAGATGTTACATCTAATTTTACTGCAGTTAGATTCTCTTTGAAGAGCTTCAAGGTGCTTGCTACTAGTAGAAAGGGTATCTAAGGCAGGCTGTGACTTCTAGGAAACTCTAGCAGCTTCTAGTGAGCTGTGTCAGCTGTTCTCGATCAAAGGGTGCTTTGTGCTTATGTGCCAGCTGATTCCTTACGGAGGCTCAAACACCCTTTCAGCAGGTACTAGGCAGAGGCCTGTATTACTGCTGGGCCTAGAGCGCAGCTCCCAGAGAGCAGCTAATAAACACAGGACTTTGCACAGCAGGGTGCACAGAAGGGAGATGTTCCCTGCACTCAGTAATGGTGGTGACGTGCTGCATGGTGTGGTCTCCAGTAGCCACTGGAACAACTCTCCTGGTTATGTCAGAGCCTCCACTCAGACTGGGCTATTTTGGGGGAAGACATGGCTTTGCAAGTCTTTGGCTGCAAGGATTTATCTAGGGCCTCCCATTCTGGCTGAGGCTATGGCAGAGGGAGATGAGCTTCCTGGCTACAGGAGGTGCAAACCAGTGGGAGAGCTGTGTTGCCAAATTAAAGGGGCTATGGGAGGAGATCAGGGGATGGCACAGCATCAGAAATGATGAGAAACAAATTGACTGGATATACTCCAAGATCCTGCAGCCTCAAGAACTGCAACCCCCAGCCGTACCAAAGGAGGTACAATCAGAGCCTGTGCTTATCCAGATGGGAAATGGAGACTCCCATGATGACAAAGGCTGGAAGCATCAGGGCAGCAGCTCCCGCTCTGCCTGCAGATGTACAGGACGATGACAGATTTGGTTCAGTCTCCTTATAGCAGATATGGGGCTGGGAGCTGTGCCCAGTGAAATGTCTGAACTGGCTAAGCCTGAGCCACGCAGTAGCGCCATATATTAGTAGCAAGTGACTCCCTGCCTGCAGGGGATGGAGGTCCCCCCATCTGCTAGGGACAGGTGACCTATGAGAAAGATAAAGGCACTATGTGGGTGGGAATGGGGTTAGGAAAGCCAAAGCTCACCTTAAGCTGAATCTGGTGAGGGACATGAAGGGCAACAAGAAGGGCTTCTACACCAGCAGCAAAAGGAAAACTAGGGAAAATAATGTCCCCCCTGCTGAATGAGGTAGGGGAACAAGTGACAAAGGACACAGAAAAAGCCCAGGCACTGAATGCCTTCTTTGCCTCTGACTTTAAGGAGAATAATTGCCTTCAGCAATGCCAGCTCCCTGAGATCAGTGGGACAGTCTGGAGCAAAGGCAGACTTGCTCTCAGTGGAGGAGCACTGAGTTAACATTTAAACAAACTGGACATACACAAGTCCATGCAAGCCAGAGGGATGCACTCACAAGTGCTGAGGGAGCTGGCTGAGGTGACTGCAAGGCCATAGCCTTACAATAGCAATAGTGGCAATAGCGGCAATAGCAGAAGGTTCCTTTCCTCTAATCTGCAAAAAGGGCAAGAAGGACCCAGGGAATTACAGGATGGTCAGCCTCACCTCAATCCTTGGGAATGTGATGGAGCAAGTAATTCTAGAAATCATCTCTAAACATATTAAGAGAATATGTTTAGGGAATAGTCAGAATGGATTTATCACGGGAAAATCATGCTTCATCAGCCTAATAGCCTTCTATGATGAGACAAATGGCTTGGTGGATGAGGGGAGAGCAGTGGATGCTGTTTATCTTGTCTTTAGTAATGCTTTTGACACCCAAAACATCCTCAGAGACAAACTCATGATGTATGGTCTAGATAAACGGACTGGCTCAACTGTTGGGTTCCAAGAGTAGTGATTAGTGGCACGAAGTCCAGCTGGTGCACGTCACTAGTAACGTATACCAGTGGATGATACTGGTACCAACACTAGTATCTTCATTAATGACCTAGATAATGGGATAGAGGGCATGCATCCTCAGCAATTTGCAGGTGATATGAAACTAGAAGGAGTGGTTGCTACACTAGATGGTTATGCTGCCATTCAGAGTCACCTTGACAAGCTGGAGAAATAGGCAAACAGAAACCTCATGAAGTTCACAAAAGGAAATGCAAAGTCCTACACTCGGGCAGGAATAAACCCATGTACTAGTACAGGTTCGGAACTAACTGGTAGAAAACAGCTTTGCAGAAAAGGCTCTGGTGGTCTTCATGCGCACTAAGTTGAACATGAGCCAGCACCGTGCCCTGTTGGCAAAGGCGGCCAACAACATCCTTGGCTGCCTGAGGAAGAGTATTGCCAGCAGGTCAAAGGAGGTAATTATTCCCTCCTAATCAGTGCTGTGAGACTGAACCTTGAGTCTTGTGTCCAGTTCTGGGCTTCTAAATATAAGAAAGATGTGAGCATACTTGAGAGAGTTCAGTGTAGGGCCACGAAGATGTTCTACGGACTGGAGCATCCATCATATGAGGAAACGACAGCTGGCATTGTTCAACTGGAAAAGGCACTTAGGGGAGATTTTATAATGCGTATACATTACCTGATGGGTGGAGAGTGAAAAAGACAAAGCAAGACTCTTGGTGAGTACCAGTGAAAGGACAAGAGAAATGGATGCAAATCAAAATACAGGAAATTCCATTCAAACATATCAAAACTTTTTTACTGTGAGGGTGGTCAAACACCAGAAGCAGAACACTGGAAGGTTGTGGAGTCTCCATCTGTGGAGACACTCAAAACCTGTCTGGATATGGTTCTGAGCAAACTGCTCTAGCTGACCTGGTTTTGAGCAGGGGGTTTGGACTAAATAATCTCCAAAGGTCCCTTCCAACCTCAATGATTCTGTGTTTCTGACATGCGCCATCAGTAAAGCACAGTAGTTTTAACATTACGTACTTCTCTCTGTATGTTTCTCCTCTTCTTTGGTGGCCTCTTCTTCTTTATCCTCCTCACTCTCCTTTCTTCTCTCCTCCTCCACCTCTTCTACAAACAGAAGAAAAAACCCCATGTGTTACTTATGCTGACCTACAGAAGTCTCATAAGAGTCCTATTTTGACTAGCGAACTTAGAATACTTATGAAAAACCATGTCGGGGAAGGCGAGAGAAATAAGTATGACGCAGAGGGAATGCAGGAGATGAAAAAAATCAGAGCACACCTTCAGAGCAAACATTTGAACTACCATACAACACAGTAAGATTCACTTCTGGATTTGCTTATCTTTAAAATCAACAGAATGCCTCAAAGTTACCTCTGAAATGAAATGATGTATTTTTAATGTAGTTAAAGTTCTCAATAAATTATTTTTATTTATTTTTCACCTAGGAAAAAAGTATAAAAATTTCAGTAACAGAATACTAATATGTTTCTCTATTTATTTACAATTGGCAAATTCGTCCATAATCTTTATGGTAGAAAAGGCCTAGATTCTTCTTAACAAATAAGAATTTTCATTTCTTCCTAATACAAAGTATTACAATTTAAGACTAGTCATTTAAAAACATACAGTTTAGGAAGTTCCTAAATAAAGAAAAATCTGAAGTGACACCCCCCAAATGCACACAGGTTAAAATGAAAAACGCTAAAACTTCCTGAAAACTTTGTTTCATGAACTTCCATTATGTGTTTTGTACAGGCTCTATTTGCCGCCTCCTGTGCTTGCTAGATACAACATAAAACTATTACTTTTAAGATTACATTAAAATCTACCCAGAATATAGCAGAACAAGTCAGCACTGTTATGCACATCTTGATCTGTACACTTCTCCAATTTCCTATTTTCATTTTGTTATTACAGCAGAGTTTACTAGCTTTTTTAGAGAAAGTTCTGGCTGCAAAGATATGCTTGATGCTCTCTTAACACTAAATTTTCTATTATGAAGAAGATTTGAGTAATTTAAAATAAGTCGCCTAATAAATCAGAAAAAGGGAGTAGTCAGAAAACCAAAAACTGAAATGACAAGACTTTTCATTTTGTTAATTTATGCAAGAAATAATATTCATACCACATAAATTCTTGAAAACCAATCTAATTTATTTTTAAGGTAATAAAATGGCATAGGGCCAATGCCACCTGATTTTTTAAGACTTATAGATAAGCTTCATGTATTTAATTGTTATCAATAAAATAAGACTCATTTACCTAAGAATCTAAAGGAGAGTCATTAAGTTCAAGAGTACTTTTTCCACAATGTACAGATTTTAATATTCAACTGAAAGATACAAATATTCCATGAGAAGATACACATACCTAGAATGTCTTTAAAATATCATGTCACAAGTTCCAAAGCTGAGCTTTTTGAGTTCTATGTAGAGAACAAAGTAATTTCAGGGATGAGGAAGTCCCTTCCTTACAAACTTCCACCACTCTGTGAACAAATTTAGCTTGTTTAACTAAAAGTGGTTTAAACATGATGCCCAGCTAAACCTCTATTTAAGAAGATTCGAACCATAATACAGAGATAATTTTACAATTGGCTATCAGCTTATTTTTCACTGATAAGCTGCGATCTCATTGTCCTGATGCTAGACAGGCAGAAGCAATGAAGGCAATCCTTTAAAAAAGTAATAATTTGATGATACCATTAAGTTATCACTGTACTTATCACACAGTCATCTTAATAAGTCACACTATTTGCTGTGGATCTGAACACAAAGGTGTTTGGTTTTGTGTTGGTTTTTTTTTGTTTTTTTTTTTTTTTAAACTAGGTGTTTGCCTGTCGCTAAACCATTGAAAATACCTTTTAATTATTTCTACAGCTGCAAGCATTTACATCTCCTTAGTAACTGAGTGGATGCATATTTGGATGTCAGTTCTGCCAAAATATACATGTAAATGGAAATAAAAATAGTGAGTAAGCCTAAGAGCATCTGAACAGTATTTGCAAGTTACTCTGGACTGCACAGTCATACTCTCACTATTCCATAATCCTGTAACCATAACATTCTCCTTATACATTGGCTAGAACTGATATGCACAGACAGCAATCACAAGAAAGTACAAAAGCATAGCCTTTCTAAGTAGTGAATCCTTGATCAAACTCTACTCAAAAGTTATTATAAAACAGAAATACAGATTTTTCCCATGAAACACGACAGGATTTGACTATTTTTGTTTAGGAAGAAATCATAGCTTCATATATTTTCAAAGGAATCATCATGACCTAGACAAGCTGGAGAAACGGGGTAACAAATGGTTTATGATATTCGACAAGGACAAATACAAAGTTCTGCACCTGGGAAGGGAGAATCCTTGCAATGACACAGGCTAGGGCCTGCATGGCTGGGGAGCCGCTCTGCTTTGAGGACTTGCATAGACAGCAAGCAAAGCATTAACCAACAGTATGCCCTGGCAGCAAAGGAAGTCCATAGCATCCTGAGCTGCATTTACAGGAACAGTGTCAGTATATCATAGGAAGTGGTTATTGCCCTTTACTTGGCACTCGTTATGCCATCTCTCGGTAAGGAGCAAGAGACTGCTAAGTGACTGGGGAACATGTCCTGTAAGAGAGGCTGAGGGATCTGGGCTTGTTCAGCATGGAGAAGACAAAGCTTAATGGGGACTTAAAAACAGCTTTTAATACCCGTAAGGTGGCTTTTGAGAATATGGAGCCAGACTCATTGTAAAGGTGCTTTGCAAAGGATAAGAAACAACATGTGTAAGCAGAAACAAGAGATTCCAACTGATAGAAAGAAAAACACTTCCAACATGAAGAGTCATTGGAACAGGTCACCCAGACAGGTCGTCCAGTCTTTCATCAGTGGAAGTTTTCAAGACCTAACTGGATAAAGTTCTGAGCTACCTTGTCTAATCTCACAGCTGACCGTCCTTTGAGCAGGAGACTGGACTAGAGACCTCCTGAGCTCCCTCCCAACCCGAACTACTCCATTATTAGGTCACAACTCCTCTTGCCTACCACAAAAAATATATATAAAAAAAATCATCAAGTGGTTCAAACACAAAGCACAATATTCTCTTTAGTTATTTATTACCACACTTTCAGTTGGGGAAAAAAAATACGCAAAGGAGTTAAAGATTACAACTAATGAATCCAACATCCTTTAATTAGTCCTCCAAAGTCTGTCGGAGAGAAGTGTGGCTGATTTCTGGTTTGCAAAATCCAGCGGATCAAAAATGCAGCAGTTTTGTCTTTGCCACATTAAAGAAACCTCTTTCCACCATACATTCAGCTCCCGTTTGCAGATATTATAGACCTCCTTAATCTTCTATTGGATGAACAAAACTTTTCTTTTAAGCTTTCCAATATAAAGTTGATTTCCCAAATGCTGAAATATTTTTTGCAGCAACTCTCTGAAAGTCTTCCATTATCCCTTTTTGAAGTAAAAACCAGAACTAAAACTATTATTGCAGAAAAGAGGTTTCATCAGTGCCATTTAAATGTAACTTATTTTCCTGTTGGCGAATTCAAGAATTCTGACAGCTAGTTCTATCACAACACAGAACAAAATTTCGTGTTTAGTTGTTTATCTGCCATTCACATGCTCTGAAGTTCTCTTCAAACACTACTTTCTAGAAGACAAGCTGTATTCTTTTAAATGTTAACTGCACTCTTTATTCTTAAAAGGTTGTATTTGAGTGTGCTGCTTGACTTCAGACTCCCTTAACAAAGATCAGTAGCAAGTTCGTTCTCTTTCAAACTATCCCTGGAGGGCATGAAATGCCACTGCTGTAGAGAAGCCTAGAATCAAGGCGTCTAGAATGCACTCAAAGTGCTAGCAATTCTGAGAAAGACAGACTTCAGATTTACTCTGGTAGACATCCTTACCTGGTTAAACTTGAGAGTGTAGATTAGGTAAGGGAAAGAACACAGCAACAGCTGCACTTAAGTAAAACCAACAGTTCACCTAATCCAGGATCCTACCTCCAACACTTTCATGTCAACAGTAGATAATCAAGTAGGGAAGAATATAAGGAGGATGAAAGAACATAATTACACAGTCCCAGAAAGCTTCCTCAGCTTTCTGAAAAATTGCTGGTGGGAGACCTCCAGAGCCTTAGGGTTTCTGTGCTTGATAGCACTCAAAAAAATTCCTCTTCCACAGAAGACAAATATAGGTAAACTTTTAGCAGTCACAGTGTTGCTAGCAAGGAGCTCTATAGTTCTCCACATGGAGAACCATCTCTTCTTCCACACCTTGATCCTGCCTCTCACTTTTTTTTCCCTTCCTCCATTTGATACATGAGGTTCTTGTAGAAGAAAGACAGCAAATATCCATTCTCCATACCACTTACCATTTACAGATCTTTGTCACATGTCTCCTCCATCTCTTTTTTCAGGCTGAAAGATCCTACTCTAAAATACAGTCCATCCTTGTCTAAAAGTTCTCTCTCTGACCTGGTATGAGTCAGGAAGTGAAGAAGCTGTAGGAGGAGATGAACTGACTGTGTAGAATGGACAAAGAGGGGATAAACTACAACCCTGCACAGACAAAAACCCAAGCCCCACAGTGCAAGGAAATAGGGACAATTAGAGGCTATATTCAAAATATTAACAAATGGAGATTTTCAAAATGGTTAGGAGATAAGAAGCCTGTGACTTCCAGCAACAGAATGAGGACTCCCTCTTTACCTGCAAATCTGCAGTTACTGCACAGGTATAGCACTGATGGAATACATTAAGAGGAAAATCTTCTATTAACACAGCCAGCTGAGTCTGAATCAACCACCTGCATAAAGGAAAGACTGGTGATAGTCATCAGGGACTCCCTCCCACAGGAGGTACCCACCTAACAACCTGACCTGATGGCCTCAGGACATTAGCTGCTTGTCAGGGGCCTGGATCCCCAACGTTGCAAAGAGGCTACCAAGGCTCATCTAGTCCTCAGCCTATTACCTCTTGCTACTTGGGCACATCCACATGGGCACCAACGATACTACCAGAAGCAATTCTAAGCATTCCAAGAGTGGCAATGGATCTCTGCAGAAAAGGCACAAGGGCCCAAGGTGGCATTATCACCAATCGT